GTGTTTTGCGTACACTGTCTTCCTTATCCAGCATGGTGTTCTGCGCACCCAGTGTTCCTTATACAGTATAAGACGTAGAAATATGATTGTAAACAAATCACTTGCCTGGGTTCAACCCCCACCTGTTCCCTGATTTAATTCAGATTAGTGTTTGCACACTCATTGTCCCTTATCCATCATGGTGGTTTGCACACCTAATATTCCTTATCCAGCATGGTGTTCTGCACATAGAGTGCTCCTTATCCAGCATGGTGTTCTAACACATAGTGCTCCTTATTCAGCATGGTGTTCCGCACATCCAGTGCTCCTTATCCAGCATGGTGGTTTGAACACATAGTGCTTCTTATCCAGCTTGGTGTTCTGCACACCCTGTGTTCTTTATCCTGAATGGAATATTCTGTACACCCCGTGTTCCTTATCCAGTATGGTGTTGTACATATCCAGTGTTACATTTAACGCACTCAAATTAATATGCTTGTACACCTAGTTTTCTTTATCTTGAATAGGTATTTTGTACACTCAGTGCTCTTTATACAGTTTGGTGTTCAACGTACATTAATTAGTGTTCCTTAACTAGTTTGGTATTCTGCACACCCGGTGTTCTTTACACTGCCTGATGCTGCGCACTCTCAGCGTTCCTTGAACAATTTATTTTGTATTCAAAGTATTACATAATATTCCTGAGCTTTTCTAAAGCCTGTATTTCTCATCCTGATGTTCTGCAAACCTAGTAAAAAACTAATGTTCATTCTAGAAATTTGTATCTTAGCATACAGTAATGTGTATATTAATTGCTACAGTGATGAAATAGGACATTTATTTGGAAAATTAATGTTTATTTGAGAAATTCACTACAATAATATGACAAATAAATGATTTAATAAGAGATATGACTACGCTTTACTTTTATAAGTATTGCTACACACTTTGGCAAAGAATCGACCAATGTTGAACACAGTTTGTCAAGTTCTTCGTCGTGGTACCAGGTCCTGATAACAGTAGCAGTTAGCTTCTCCACAGTTGAACAGTCCTGTTTCGCGATCCTGCGTTTGGTTTTTGCCCATAGATTCTCAGTTGGTATGAGGACAGGAGACTTTCCAGGCCAATTTCAGCATTATTCTGGAAGTGTGGCGTGGGGCAAGATCCTGCGAGTAAATTCCTTCTTCATTAGGAAAGTCTCTATCCACACTCGGAAGCAAATAAGTTGTCAGATTTGCCTTGTGTTTATCACTGCTCGTCGTTCCCTCAACAATAACAAGCCGTCCAGCGCCTTTAGCAGTAAAACAACCTCAAAACATCTCGGTGAGTGTTTTATCGCTTGTTGAATGTGTCCATTCCGAAAAAGTTCGCCTTTGCTCAGTCTCAGTACCATTGATCTGTTCCCATGTACTTCAAAATGCGCCTCATCTGAAAATATAACTTTTCCTCATTCATCTGTCGTCCATCTCTTATGATCCAGTGCCTACCGCAGCCGTTTTCTTCATGATAACCATCTCATCATGATATGTTGTCTTGCATTTCTTCCACATCTTCCTCGACGCAGCGCTCCACCATCACCAGTGTCATCACCTCTCTTCAGAATCCGACCAACAGTTGACTTTGCTAGGCTCATATTTGCCGTGAACTGTTTGAT